CGTTGCTCGATCACGTGAGGAAATGCATATCTGATCTGGGTCTCTAAATGAGCAAAGTGCGTAACAGCTTTATGGAGTGCAGATATTTTCGAATGGCTTACACAGTATCGGTTAGAACAGGGGTTCTCAACGTTTTTGGCCCACAGCCCCCTCTGCTCAATGCAAACCTTTCTGCAGACCACCAGCCAGCAACCCATGATGGCAAAATGCCATGCAGGATGGGATGGGAGTGTGGGGTCTGGGTGGGAGGTTGGGTATAGGACAGGGTGGGGATGAGGGGTCTGGGCAGGAGGTTGGGTGCAGGATGGAGTGGAGTGCGGGGTTATCCAGGAAGTAGGGTACAGGACGGAGTGGGGTGCAGGCTCTGGCCGGGAAGTAGGGTACAGGCCGGGATGAGGATGAGGGGTCTGGCCAGGAAGTTGCGTGCAGGAGCAGGGTGAGGGTGCGGGGTCTGGGCAGGAAGTAGGGTGCAGGAACGGGCAGCGGTTGGGGGCATCTGGTCAGGGTTCCGACCAACGGGGGCAGTGGGGAAAGCGGCTAGGTGAGAGGTTTCCTGTCAGCCGTTTCCCCAGCAGGGGGAGATGGGAGCCGCAGTGCGCAGAGCCGCTTCCCCTCGCGAGCTGGATCCGGCCTGCGAGGCTCGGGGCACCCCTCTCCCTACAGTGGGAAGCCAACCTTGCCAGGGGGGCCCGTGGGGCTGGAGCACCTGCGTGGGCTCCCCGCTGCAGGAAGGCAGAGGGGCAAGCCCTGAGCCTGCGGCCTGCCTGCAAGATGGTCGCAGACCGCTAGAGGTCCGCCGACCACACTGAGAACCACTGGTGTGGAAAATGAAATGCATAAAATCCCTTCAGATTCCTATGCAAGTGTAAACTGTGATTTCTGCTTTAGTTACAGCACCTGCCTCAGTTAACCAGCAGCAACATTTTACCAGCTTTGGATAACAAGAAGTACTGCGGCAACACAAGAAAATTAAACTACCACCTCCCCAACATCTAACACGCCGGCAAGTCGCTTCTAAGACAGAACTATTTATTGTTCAAAGCGCAAGCCTTCAGCAATTTCTGAAAGGAAGATTTAGGGTGGAAAACTGATGTAAATTTTACAATAGACACGTAAGTGAGCTCTGAATTTAGTTTATGGTGGGTCGCCAGTAGAAGGAGACCCCTGCACAGACAGCTCGGAGCTGCACGCTAATCGGTAGTCTATGCGTAAAGGAGAAAGACCGGTGGTTTGGTTTGGTTTGGTCTTTTTGTGGTTCAGCGTTACCCAAGAACCACGGCTTACAGTGCGTAACTTTAATAAACCACATCGACTGCTGGTATTCAGGACTTTGCAGTAAAATCACAAGCAAGCCAAACAAATTGGTTTGTTTGTCCCATTGTGTGAAAGCATTAAAAATAATAAGAAAAACTAGACTGTATGTTACACGGCACAAAAGAGTCGATCCTGAAGCACTGAGGTATACGCACCATTTTATTCCTGTGAGCAGGCCCAGCATAGGCACTTTCTGTAAGTCAAACTACTTGTGTGAGTTTGTAGGAATAGGCCTGGAGGTCGTTCATGTAATTGGAGCTATCCCGCCTGTGGCTCAACTGAGTGAAATATAAATAGTTTTCTAGTCCAAGTAAGGTATTGGGAACCATTAGCAAAGGCTAATACAGCTAGAATGGAATGCCCAAACACTACAGCATTGTCACTGATATGGGGAGAAGGGGACACACTCTTTTTTAGTAAAACCTTGCAGTTGCTTTAGATTATGTTTTTAGGTTTGCTCTGCCGTTCTCTTTCTGGCATTACCAAGTGTTCACTTTTACATGGTCAGTACCAGAAACTGCTCACCTGTGGTTTGTAATATTGGAAAGGAGCAGGCAGGAAGGCCTCCTCAATATCTATCCTAGGCTAAATCTTCATTTCTTTGTGTACTGTCAGGCTGGTAATACTTGAGTGGTTTTGAATAAAATCAACGTAGCGCACCTTTCTATGTGTGTGTCAGTGTTTGACAACGGTGTCTTTAAAACCATCTGCGGACACCCTGTTATTCCTTTTTAGAAACCTTTCCTTGTTTTTTAGTTAGTCTCTGACCCAGATATCCTCCCTACTTCATTCCTTCTGGCCTCATAGCTCGTTATTTTTAAAACCTGCCTTCTACTTGCTAGTCAGGGCTGTCCTGTAAGCTGACTTTAATTCTTTAATTTCATGTATTTATCCTAAAATAAATACCAGATATGCTTTGCTGAGCCCACAGCCACCAAGACATAGGTCCAAGTCTCTTGGGCCGTGTCTAGACTGGCAAGTTTTTCTGCAAAAACAGCTGCTTTTGTGGAAAAACTTGCCAGCTGTCTACACTGGCCGCTTGAATTTCTGCAAGAACACTGACGATCTCATGTAAGAAATCAGTGCTTCTTGCGGAAATACTGTGCTGCTCCTGTTCGGGCAAAAGTCCTTTTGCGCAAAAGGGCCAGTGTAGACAGCTCAGATTTGTTTTGCGCAAAAAAGCCCCGATCGTGAAAATGGAGATCGGGGCTTTTTTGCAGAAAAGCGTGTCTAGATTGGCACGGACGCTTTTCCGCAAAAAATGATTTTGCGGAAAAGCGTCCATGCCAATCTAGACGCTCTTTTCTGCAAATGTTTTTAATGGAAAACTTTTCAGTTAAAAGCATTTGCGGAAAATCATGCCGGTCTAGACATAGCCTTGGAGTAGACAGGTTCAAATGGAACAAGGGAAGTTCTCTCATTAAATTTGGGGAAATATTTAAAGGGACAGCAACAGGTGGAACCTAGAAGAGATTCCCAGAGTGACAGACAAAAGGAAGAAAACGTTCAAGGCTTTGTTTCCTTCATGACAAGCAGTTTTCACTCTCCCTCTCTTCCCCCTCCCCCACCCCTTTTGGGAACTCGCAACACACAATGGTGGAGTTAGCAAGAATCTTGCTTCCTTGGCCTGGCAATTCCCTGCAAACCCTTCTCTATCCTACCCATTCTCATTTGGTCAACCGAGGCACATTTAAGAACATTTATTGTAATTCTGTTACATCCGTGCAAGGAAGAGTATGTGGTTTTTACTTACTTCCCTTGTTAGAAGACAGATTTCTTTAGTTAACTACTTGCAACCACTCCAAAAGAATTTACAGAATTGTTTGGTGAAAGCACAAATGAGTTCAAATATGTTTCATTGAGATTAAATTTGTTTTAATAATTTCAGAACCATTGACAAGAGATCTTTTTCCACAATGAAATATAAGCACAGTGGCAACTACACTATAATCCATATAATTTCAGGATAATGAATCAGACACTTCAGAGTTATGTAAAGATGTCTTTATTCTAAATCTAATTCCAGCTCCAGCGATGGCATTGATTTCTTAAGGATCTGAACGGTAGTTTCTTTCTCTCTTATTCCTGGAAGGTCACTCAGAAATAAATATTCAAGGTTCCTGTAAATATATAAAAAAAATCGGTCAGTGGCTATTTACAAGACAAAGTGTGATTAATTTAAAAAGCGCACACACACACTTTCAAACTCGGACTACTTATACAATACATACGATGTGACTGGGAGCCAGAGAGGTTTCCAAAAAACTGTAATAGGAAGCCAGTATTTTCAAAAGGGGTTGCCTCAAGTTTTCAGAAGCACCGTGCAGCTACAAGTGTCCACTGTTTAATATTTTAAAGTGTGCAAAATGCTTTGCTGACAAAAGATCCTGGCCCCATAAAGCATCCTGCTCTCTTTACATTACTTTATATTGCTACCAGAAGTCCTCCTAGTAATTTATTAAGGCCTCAAAAGCCAACCTGGTTCCTCTTCACTAGTAGCAAGGAGTTTGTCAATGGCTGTACTCATGTATTAAAAAAAAAGAGTCTGGTGCTGCTTGAAGTGTTTTGCTGAATAGGGGCTTCACTCTCATACTGCCTCCCATGCAGAGATTAAAAAACAAACACGACCTCTCTCCCAAAGACCTCATGAGCTATGTCAGACACAGAGAAAGATACTGGGAGTCGCAGTGCATTGTAAATGCCAGGGCTGATTGAGGAGAAAGGACCCAGACTGGTGGATGGCAGAAAGCAAGGTGCTAACAACCCACTTTCACCTCAGTACGACTCAGAGGGTAGGCCTACACTGCAATCAAAGGCCAGGGCTGGCTTGAGTTAGCTGACTAAGGTTTAAGGTGCTCTGGCCACAGGGCTATAAAACTGCAGTGCAAGTTCTCACACCAGAAGCCTGGCTCTGGGAAACCTCCCCAATCACAGGCTACATCTAGACTGGCATGATTTTCTGCAAATGCTGTTAACGGAAAAGTTTTCCGTTAAAAGCATTTGCGGAAAAAGAGCATCTAGATTGGCACAGACACTTTTCCGCAAAAGCTCTTTTTGGGGAAAACCGTCCGTGCCAATCTAGACGCGCTTTTCCGCAAGAAAGCCTCGATCTCCATTTTCGCCATCGGGGCTTTTTTGCGCAAAAGGACTTTTGCCTGAATGGGAGCAGCATAGTATTTCCGCAAGAAGCTCTGATTTCTTACATGAGATCGTCAGTGTTCTTGCGGAAATTCAAGCGGCCAGTGTAGACCGCTGGCAAGTTTTTCCGCAAAATCAGTTGCTTTTATGAAAAAACTTGCCAGCTGTCTACACTGGCCCTTTTGCGCAAAAGGGCCAGTGTAGACAGCTGGCAAGTTTTTCCGCAAAATCAGTTGCTTTTATGAAAAAACTTGCCAGTCTAGACACAGCCACAGGGTCTCTCAGCCTGCACTCCAGCACAAGCACCTACGCTGCAATTTTGCACATACCCCAAGAGAGCAGTCCAAAGGTGACAGTTAAATGTACTAATCAATCCATTGCACATGCAGAATCGCTGCCTCAGCACAGGGGCAGCGTAATCTGCTGAGCAGCCAACTCTGAATCTCACCTACAACGGGGGACATAGGAAAAAAGGACAACTACAAGGACATGACTCAGCTGTGAATTCACATTCTCTTCGGCGTCCTACTTTACTGCACGTCAAAGACGGGTAATGTTGAATGTAAACAAAAGTAATGATTCCAGTAATCTGAAACTATTCTAAACATACAAATGCGGCAACAGCGAGAAAAGCGAGGGCCTGAAGACATTCCCTCAATGGCTCACGTTAGCTTGTGAAGTGCGATGATGCCTTTATCTGTGACATTCCCACAGGACATTATCATCAGTCGCAGGAGACTTTTCTGTAAACTCTCAGTCTCGCTGATCCGCTGCAGACATTCATCCTGGATATAAATGCACTTGTTCAGCTTAATTTCCGCAACGTGCTCGAGGCCATCTGGAAAGGAGAAAAATCATAATACAAGGTGCAAACTGCAGGTGGTGCTTCCAGCAGGGCTGCAGTTCTTCTTGGCTGTGTCTACACTGGGCCACTTATTCTGGAAAATCAGCCGCTTTTCCAGAATAAGCTGCGAACTTTCTACGCTGGCCCTTGAATTTCCGGAAAAGCAACGATGCTCTACTGTACAAAATCAGCCGCTATTCCGGAAAAACTATTCTGCTCCCGCTCGGGCATAAGTCCTTATTCCGGACCACTGTTCCGGAAAAAGGCCAGTGTAGACAGTCCAGTAGTCTTTTCCGAAAAAAAAACCCCAGTCACGAAAATGGCGATCGGGGTTCTTTTCCGGAAAAGCGCGTCTACATTGGCCACAGACGCTTTTCCGGAAAAAGGGCTTTTCTGGAAAAGCAGCCTGCCAATGTAGACGCTCCTTTTCCGGAAAAACTGAAAACAGAATAGTATTCCGTTTTAAGCATTTCCGGAAATTCATGCCAGTGTAGACACAGCCCCTGTGTTTCCATAACCTGATAGTAACAGATGCCTAGTAGGGATGTAAAAGGTTAACCCATCAGCATTAGACTTAGTGGAATGCTTGGTAACTGGTTAACCGGCCTGCCAGCTACATAGGGCCAGCTGGCAGGAACCCAGATAGGTCAGGGAGGCTGCTGGAGCCACAGAGTGGGCCGGGGGACCCTGGCCATAGCTGTGCCACAGTGGCACCATTTGGAGGCAGAGGCAGACGGGACTCTGGCCATGCCGCAGCAGCCCCGGACTCCTGGATTAAACGATGTAATTTTAATCATTTCACCAGTTATCTGTTTTGATGGATATTTTCATCCCTAATGCCCACATATGGAAGAGCCATAATACATCACGAATAACCTTATAGTACGGTACCCTGCAGCAGTCCCTTTGCTGGCTTCACAATTGCCAACACATGACTAAGGTTCTAAGGGGTTTTATATGGACATAGGCCAATGACAGAAGATTAGCATGCACAGGATGACTGACAAGTGCTGAACTAACACTGAAATTACACAAGGAAATGTAAAATGACTTGCAAAGAAAAGGCGTCCGTGCATGTCCCATTTTTGTATTTTGGGGTGTAAAGGACTGAAAGGCAACAACTTTTTAAAAATTCTGCTTCTTTTAAATTAGAAATGCAGAGCTTTGGGCTGTTCCTAGGAAGAACTAAGGAACGCTAGCAGTACAATGACTTCACAAATACCAAAAATGAACACATGACTTAGGGCAAGTCATTTGTAGTCAGAACATTTATGCATATTGAACTATGAACTTATTTAACTAATAAATCTTTGCTCCCACTGTTTAATGCTCTTCCCTCTTCAAGTAACTCCCAATCCATCTGTCCTAAAAGGAGACCTCCAGAAAAAAAACAGAGATACAATCTGATCTCTCTCAATTAAAACACAAGCATTTTTCTTTTAAAAATCAAGCCTTTTCTGTGAGTCACCAAGAAACAAAAGGACCCAGCAGCTCAGTCTTTGATGCAAATGGATGAATTTTAAGGACAATATATAAAGTGCAAAGCTGTGGCTTGGTTACCCAAATAATCAAATCCTGTGTACATGATGCAGGACTCGGTGGCATCGATTGCTTGTATCTTGTACTTTCCTAAAGGCCCTGTTGGGAGACCATTGTAGTCCTGCTGCCATTTATCAAAGCCTTGGAAACGGACCAGCGCTCCACACCGCAGAAGCCACTCAGACGCTGCTCTATCCGGGCCAACAGCCTTTATACGTTCATAGTCTACCCTGCCAACATAGAAGAACCATTTACATCTTGTACAGCTGTATTAAGTGTATGAAGCAAAGAAAAGAGAGAGACTGAGCCACAAGTTTACATCAATTTACTAAACCTGCACTAGTTTTTAAATCAGATAAAGTGTTCATTTATATTTTAAATTAAAATTAAATGTCAGTAACATCATGAAGAAAAATATTGCTAGCTAGTTTACTTGTATTTCTCTCTAACGAATCCTCTCCTGTCTGCTCAGCATTCGACCTTTGCCAACCCCCACGTGCTCATTTGGCCCTACTGTAATAATTCCAAATCTGCTTGGCTGACATGAAAATTCTATACGTGTATTGCAAAAGCATGACAAAGGCTGAGACGCTTACGCAGGAGATAGCCAACATTTTGCTTATTTTACAATGAGGATGTTAGAGTTTTACCGATTTACACTGATGCGTATCGGTTAATGTTATTGGTTTAATTCTGCCCGCCTGGGGAATCAGCCCCACCCTCCACCCTGCTGTGGGCGCTGCAGTTTAGGAACCGGAAGGCTCTGTCCCAGCACATACAAGATCCCAGCAGCCAGCTCTGCTGTAGCCAGATACAGAGCAAAACCTCCTCAGGAGCGGGGCCACCAATCCCTGCCAGCTCGGCTCCTCGGGGAGGAAGCTTCACTGTGGCAAGGAAGCCTCCTCCCCAGGAGCCAGCAGGGTGTTACTACAGGACTTGGTGGAGACTGCTGAAGAACACTGAATGCAGACTGCGAATGGCTGACATTTGTTATTGGTAGAGAAATAATTAAATTTTAAAATTAAAATGAAAACACCAGTTCAACTAAATTACACTTGGAAAGGTAACTCAGAGCACCTTCTGAATTCATAAAGGACATTTAGAATGCTAGAACCAGAATTTAAATCTTCATGGAATCAAGGCCAAAAGACGACGAGTGTTTAGGAAACCAGAATTTAATTTCTAACTGGTCTCACTGAAGGTAAGTAAAATTACCCCATAAAAAACTGATTAAAGTACACACGTTCCTTTGTAAATCAATGATTCTGTTACTGGAAACTGTAAGAAACAACCAGTACCTGACAACGGCGCACAATTTGAAAAAAAAAACACATGTTTAATAGAAGAAGCTCTCTTCTGTCCTTCTATAGGTTGTAACTGGCTACTGTTACGCATTAGCCGATTATACATACTACATCGTGATATGCATCAGCAATTTTAACTAACACAGAAATTATTAAATACACATTTTTCTTACTTGTTAAAAACTGCATTCAGCCATCCCCAGAAGTGCCTGCATGCACCGGGGGTTGATAGTTTCTTTAAACCGTGCACTGGTTGTATGAACTTCCCCACCAGCATCATTGAACTACAAGAGAGGTTTACTGAAATGTCAGTTTGGTGCATCTGTCTTCTTGCCACGCTAGTTATTCACAAAATAACATATGACAGGTGTTTTGTTTTGTATAAACAACACTTTAGGTCACTTAACGGGAGGATAATTTTAACTTTCTGGAGCCCAGATATGAACTTACGTCATCAGAAACATCCAGCCTGAACTGGCAGTCTGAAAAATACTGAAGTGCTCAGGAATAAATGGTATAGTTAAACCTGCAACTTGGAATCAAAGATCAATTTTGCTTTCAAATTTTAACTAGGGGGCTTCTGTACTCAAAGGTAAATAAATGCCAAATAGTTTACATTCACAGCCACAGCATCTGCCAGCAACCTGGTTTCCTCAGGTCACGCCACTAAGAAGCGCAGGGGGTTGGTTGGAGAAGTCTCCTAAATGGGAGCTAAAGCAGAAATATGGCCTGCTCAGGGTTCTACATGTGGCCTGCAAGACATCTGTTACTATTTCCCAAGCGCAGGGTCGCTAGATTCTGCTGGTTTCTGTCCACATCATTTTTTCCCTGTATTCACTATTACTACAGTGAAACACAGATAAAGGGCACATGAAGGGAGGAGCGTGCTGATTGCATGCAGCGTGAGAATCGTGTGCTCCCTCTGCCCCCCATCCCAGCGCTAATACGGTTCATTCAGCACGCCCCACAAAATCTAGGTATGCAAGCACAGGGAGCAAAACCACCCGATCCCAGCAGACTGTCTTGGTTACAACAATCTTGCAGCCCATTGAGATGACGGCGGCTACTCATGTGGCCCACTCGCTAGCCCAGGCTGCCCACCGCTGGTCTAATCTGACCCTGCACAGGCCAGAGCCTTGGCCACCTGCTCCTGTCGCAGACCCCAGACCTCTGCTGAGTGACTGAAGTCCTTCAACCTCGGTATAAAATCTTTGTCAGGAGACAGGCTGGCCCTGGCCAGGGGCAGAGGGTAGGGGCCTGGGCTATGTTAGGGTTTGCTCTGCTAGGGGAGGGGTGGGGCTATGTGAGGGCCTGCCCCAGACCTCTGCTGAGTGACTGAAGTCCTTCAACCTCGGTATAAAATCTTTGTCAGGAGACAGGCTGGCCCTGGCCAGGGGCAGAGGGTAGGGGCCTGGGCTATGTTAGGGTTTGCTCTGCTAGGGGAGGGGTGGGGCTATGTGAGGGCCTGCTCTGCTGGGGGGGAGTTGGGCTATG